GAGCTACTCAAATGTTTGTTTTTTTGACAAACGTCGAATGCTATTATCCAGTTTTTGTATCGGTGATATCTTCTTTTTAAAAAAAAAAGTCTTAATATTGATTTCGTTTTTCTCTATTTTATCGAGATTCTTGTTTTCTATATTATTTGTACTAATATATTTTAAATGATGACAAAAGAGAAAAATGTTTAAAATCATTTTATTAAGATTTTAATTTAGATATAGAATACTTATAACATTCAAATTTGACAATTTGGTCATTTCACCTATAAAGAAGTGTAGTTTTCAAAAAATAAAAAATGGGAATAATTTTCAAAATATAATCTCACATAAAGGCATTTTTCCAAATTTCCCCTAAATTTTAAGCTATAAATATTGAAACCATTAAAATTATTATTGTAGATATTTAAGACAAATACTTCTTAATAATTTAAAATAATAAATGTATAAATCTTATAAAATAGTTTACAGTTTATTCTATTTTTGAGGTATATAAACAAAAAACGTTTACATAAATTCTTGTTGCTGGTACTCTGATTCTTTATCGATTAACAGTGTAGCTTGTTTTTCTTAAAAGTTGCTCATAGTGACTCAGGGCCAGATGCTGCTTTTGAAAACTATATATCTACTCTTCAATCCTTATTTGCTATACTTTGATGTGGTTGTTAGAAGAATAAGCATAATAGAGTTTCAAGAATAGGCATAATAGAGTTTCATAAATTAAACATATTGATGGCGAGAGAAAAATGTTGTGTTGACAAGATAAAGAACAATTTTTTTTTTTTTTTTTTTTTGACATCAAACGGCTGATTTGTTACTCAAGCGACTTGAGGTGGTCTGGGTAGCCAGACCGGAATAGAACAACCAACGTACACAAGCTCTCGATAAAAGGACCTGGCTATCTTAGCTAGAGAATCAGAAACGCAGTTCTGTAATCTAGGATCATAAAAAATCTTGAAATCAGGAAAGCAGATCTTCAGTGTCAACAATTTTTCTAGCTCTGTTGAGAAGCTATGCCAAGCATGAGGATTCTTAAGCATCTCGATCATCTTCTTGCAGTCAGTTCCAAAGCTCTGACATGTCGAATGTTGAAGCATGTTCTCCATTGCCCACCGCAGTGCTTCGAACTCTGAGTGCAACGCCGCTTCCACTCGATCAAAATTACGCAGCCCCATTAACTGGCTATTATTAGAATTATCATTCAACACTCGTCCACATCCACTGAAGAGATCCGTAGAAGTCCAAGATCCATCCACCATGCAAATGTTTCCCAAACTTAAGGCATGTTCTTCATTTATTCCGCTCCCAAGGGAGAGCGGTATATCCCTCTCATTTGCTTGGAACCATGCTTGGCATTCACTTTCTGCATATCGCGCTACCTCCAAAGGATCCCTATCAATGCCTCTGAATAGCTTATCATTTCCAGCCTTCCAAATGTACCAGATTAGCCAAGGATAAGGATCCCTGTCCGATTCCGGTTCCATTATTGCATTCTTCCTCCAGAACAAATAGTCCATATTCGCGTACGTACTTGATACTGGAAACAAAGCGGGATTGGTAGGCGTAGATGATAGCGCCCATGTCTGTAATGCAGGTGGACATTCAAATATGGCATGAGTGATCGTCTCCTCGGGTTCCCCACAACGAGGACAGTGGTTGTCACATCTCATATGTCTGTAGTTTAAAATGCTCGTAACAGCTACATGTCCTGTTATTAACTGCCACATAAGGTGGTAAATCTTTTGGGGAGCCCTGACCTTCCAAGCATGTGCTTGGAGTTTTGTGATACTAGGCTCACATACTTCAGATTCTTCTACCTTTCTCAAGATATTTCGTGCTACTTAGTATCCAGATTTAACTGTATACTGTCCAGTCCTAGTATAGCTCCAACAGTACGTATCCCGGCGATGCGTGGAGCTAATGGCCATACTCTTGATGAGTGGTATATCAGCTGCATCAATATAATCGTGAAGGCGGCTAACATTCCAAGTTTTTGATGATTGATTAATCAAATCGCTCACTCGTATGTTCGGATGCAGGACCGGGGCCAATGGTGTTGCTGGTCTCGCAGGTCTAGTAGGGATCCAAGGATCATCCCACACTTTAACTTCATAACCCGAGTGGACCTTCTGTCTAATTCCTAATAATAGCAGTTCTCTTCGAGCCGATATACTTGTCCACACATATGAAGGGCTGCTAGCATTGATCTGACGCAAAGGCGTACTCAATCTGTAATACCGGCCTCTCAAAACACGAGCTACCAGAGAATCCGGGTTCTGTACCAGTTGCCATAGTTGCTTTGCTAGTAGCGCAAGATTGAACTCATGTATAATCCTGAAGCCAATCCCACCTTTTTCTTTAGGTACCCATAATTTATCCCATGTTGACCAGTGTATACCCCTTTTTGGCGGATTTGAACTCCACCAGAACTGTGCAATGGCACTTGCTAGATTCTCACAAATCTCCAATGGGAGAAGGAAGCAAGACATTACATACATCGGAAGAGCAAGCAGGATTGATTTTATCATAACTTCTTTCCCCCCTTTAGATAGCCATCTGCCAGTCCATCCTTTCACTCTGCTTCTCAGCTTGTCCTTAAGGAAGGCAAAAAGCTTGCATTTGAATCCGCTGATATCCTCCGGTATACCTAAATATGACCCCATTCCTCCTTCATTTTGGATCCCAAGTGCGTCTTTGATCTCTTGTCTCACATCCTGGCCGATTCTTTTACCAAAGAGTAAAGAAGACTTCTCAAAATTAATGCATTGTCTTGAAGCTTGTCCATATAACTTGACCACTTTCATTACTTCTTCACATTCACGGGGCTCCGCCTTACAGAAAAACAGACTATCATCAGCAAATAGAAGGTGAGATACCGAGGGACACGCACGCGTGATGCGCATCCCAGTTATCTTTCCTTGGTTCTCTGCATGATTAAGAAGGCTAACGAGAGCTTCCGTGCACAAAATAAAAATGAAAGGGGACAGAGGATCCCCCTGTCGTAGACCTCTCTCCGGAACGATATTTTCTCTTGGCTGTCCATTCATGAGGACCTTGTACTTTACTGATGTAATGCATCTCATGATCATAGTTATCCAGACTTCAGAAAATCCCATTTTCCTCATGGTGGCCTCAATGAAGGGTCATTCCATCCTATCATATGCCTTACTCATATCAGTTTTGATCGCCATCCTTTTGTTTCGACCACTCGGTTTTGTTCTTAAAGCGTGGAACAACTCCTGAGCTATCATAATGTTGTCAGAAATTTGTCTCCCAGCAACAAAGGCGGACTGGGTTTCTGAGATCATGTTTGGTGGGAACTTTTTTAATCTCTGGCATAAGACCTTAGAGATAATCTTATAACTAACATTGCATAAGCTAATAGGGCGTAACTGGCTCATCTGATTTGGCTTATCCACTTTTGGAATGAGACATATGTTGGTATCATTTAGTCCACATGGCACCGTTCCCTCAAATAGGAATTGATTAACCATAAGAGTTAAATCATCCTTTACAATATCCCAGAATTTCTGGTAAAACAGTGCCGTCATTCCATCTGGTCCTGGAGCTTTCTCTAGGTGCATCGCGAAAAGAGCCAATTTAACCTCCCATTCTGTGACCGGGCTGTTAAAGACTCATTATCTGTTAATGTAATTTTGGTTGATACTTCAGAGAGTGCCTCCTCTTTTTCCTCAGGATTCGATGATTGAAAGATGTGTTTAAAGTAGTTTGTAGCAATGGCTACCAATCCTTCCTCATCCTCCACCACGTTTCCATCTTCATCCAGTAATTGGGTAATCATATTCCTTGCTCTCCTTTGCTTCGTAAGTGCGTGAAAAAATTTAATATTTCTATCCCTTTCTCGCAGCCAGAAAACCCTACATTTATGCTTCCTATACATCTCCTCTGCCTTAAGAGCATCAGATAGTTCCTTAATAGCTGCCGTAATCTCCTCAGTAGTGGCATCATCATTTGAAGATAAACGATCTACCTTTTCCTTGAGCTCCTCCACTGTTTTTTTCTGAGTTTAGATAATGCTGCTTTTTCCACTCGCTTAATGCTCGGCGGCAACTTACAATATGATCCATTATACTTGCATCTGGTGGGAGGTCCGGTGACTTCCATCCCTCAAGTATAATTTGCCTAAGCTCATCGTTATTTAACCATCTCTTATCAAATTTGAAATTTCTTGTTCTCCTCCGTTTCTTTTTCAAAATATCATCTAGTATCGAACGATGATCCGAACCCCAGAGTCTCATATACTTCACATTGAAATGAGGAAATTTCTCATGCCAGTCCTCATTCCCAACAGCCCTATCAGGGCGGCATCTAACTGTCGTCCTCCCTGCTCTATTTCCCACCCAAGATAGCATGTCTCCTGTGAAAGGAAACTCCAGCATACCACAATCACTTAACATTTGTCTAAAGGGTAGAAAGGAGCTATCAGGGCGCTGTCTGCCTCCTTCCTTCTCTGCATGACAAGTAATTTCATTAAAATCCCCTATCATGAACCAAGGTTCATTTCTTGTTGTTGAAAAGCGCGTAAGACGCTCCCAAACTAAATCTCTTCTTTCTAGTACCGGATCCCCAAAAACAAATGTCATGTAAACTTTTATTCCATCATTGACTGCCTCAATATCAATCATTATGTTATTTGAAAATAAAACATTAACTTGAAAATCATCCATAAAAAACAAAGCTAAACCACCGCTGAGTCCAAGAGTCTCAACAGTATACAAACGATCAAATCCTAAGTCAGTCTGAATGTCTTGCAACAGCAGCCTCCTATTCTTTGTTTCAGAAAGAAACACAAGTCCTGGGTGATGCTTCTGAGACATCTCCGTAAGGCGTCGAACTGTGAGGTTATTTCCTAGCCCTCGACAGTTTCAACTGAGTGTCCTCATAGATACAGCTTTGATGGGTTTTTGTATCCCATCAAACCTTCAGTATTGTGCTCATGTTGCCTACTCCTCCTCTCTCGCCCTTGACTATCTTTCTTTCTAGCTTTCTTTTCCGCCTCTTTTGGACCAGGGGATAAAGCAATGATGGTCCTTGGCGAGCCACGTCGTAAGAACTCTGATTTTTTTGATTTAATGCCCAATGGAGCATTCAATCGGTGCTTCTCACGGGATGGTTTAGCATCCTCTCTGCGGGCCAGAGCCCTGGAAGAGCCCGAGTTCTCATGTATTTTCTTCCCCTTCAATTCTTCTTCCTGCAACGCTAGCAGTTCCTCCTCCAGCAAATCATCAGCCTGATCATCATCATCCAACTTTTCATCATCCAATTCCATCGGTGTGTCCATATCCTTTAATGCACCAATCATCTGATCCCTCTCTACCCCATTTGCTGCAGCCTGAAGAGAGCGCGGAGAGAAGGTAAGAGCACGAGGTGCCCCTCTAGCCCGGAAAGTAACATTGGACTCCATAACATTAGCAGACCGAGTTGGAGACACAATGGTGTTCTCGAGACTCCTCTCCGGTTGATCGAATGATGTCTTCTCCGATCTGTTTTGTCTAGACCCACAAGAATCACTATTTAGATTATGTTGTTCATATGGGACAACAGCCTGATGATTCCAACTTTGTGAACAGATGTTAGTAGCCGTTTCTGAAGGTTCGTGTGGAGACACTATTTTGATTGCCACCTTCCGCAAACGACGATGCTCTGCACTCCCATGTCCATCCTCATGTTGCGGTGCATAATCTAGTTTCTTCATCCGGTTCGCAACTTGATCTCTTGATGTATGTTCATAAGGAACCATATCCGGCCTGGCCTCTCGATAACCTTCTTGTGTAGCCTGAGAGGAAGCAGTTTCCTTTAGTCAACGTTTTCTCGCGCCATTGCAGGTCCGAGGTACGTGCATACGGGGATCTACGTGATCGATCTGGTTTCCACTGATCCCTTCTTCTAATAATTCTATCAGAATATTGCTCCCCGCGATTCCCTATCTCAGATGATCTTCCTGCCTTTCGATCCTGAGAGCCATCACCGTATCTTCCGGAGTTATCCCAAGCATTGAACCTAGAGGAGACAACAGGTTTTTCAGACCTCTCACCCATCAGCTTCGTGTGATGGTTGTCTTTAAGAGACCCACGGGGATGTCCAGGATTCTCTCGCACATCTCTAGGTAGTTGAACTCGTGAAAATACATCCGGTTTACCTAAGTTGTTTCGACTATCATCAATAGTCATTGGACACTGCTCTTTCTCATGTGATATAAACCCACAAGTAGTGCAGTGCTTGAACAAGAGATCATAGGTTATCTGAATTGTCACCTCTTCCCCCTGAGGAGAGGAAGCCATTGTCTTGAATTTCAGTAGTTTTCTTGTATCAACCTCAATCAACATTCGTCCTTCTTTAAGTTCTAAAGTATCGACTTTCCCTATTCGTCCTCCTAGACCACGCAGATTCTTAACGGTCCAGAAATGCAATGGCATTCCTGTTAAGCGGACCCAAAATGGAATTACCCACGGGTAATCATCGTGAACAATTGGCTCCCATCTCACTAGGACAAACATACAATAATTGTAGTGGAAAGGACCTTGGCTGAGAACTGAGGTAATGTCCTCCTCATTCGTAAAGTTGAATAGAAATTTTCCATTGCCAAGATCGTTTGCTGTTAGTCGGTCTTGCAAACCCCACTGTTTAGGCATGTATTGAATTAATCTCTCCACATTCTGCTTTTTAGGGTTGAGAACTTTGCCAATTAGAGACATACGAAACTCATTCATGACTTGCGTATTATCCTCCTCCTCGAGTTGAAAAGGATCCGCATCATCCTGAGTGGCCTTTCCTTTAATGTATATCATATGGACAGACTTAGGGCGTCCAATAGGTCCCATAAGTAGTGGTGGAAACTGTAGCTTCAGTGCTCTGGTACGATTAAAATCAATGTTTTTGAGAAACGTTGAGTGTTGTAGGGATCGGGACTTTTAGAATCAAAGGATTCCAATTACTTGAGTCAATAACAGGGATCGATCTCGTGTTGCGAGGGTGAAAAGGTAGGGTCAAAAAGATTTGAAAGGAGACACAGCGTGTGGTTGACGTAACGATAATGATCGTACTGTCAAAGCAGAAGGAGACCCGACGATGTGTTTTGTGGGTAGAGAGACACTTTCCACCACCAAATGACGGGGTGATCCAGATACAGAGGAGACTCCAAGGGGAATCTACGATCTGCGAGCCGTCAATGGAGGCAGAGACACCGATGGAGATTCGGAATTTGAAGCAGAGTCACTGATGGAGCAGAGTCGCCGCCGACGAACGTGATGATCCAGGAGAAGACGAGATTTCAAGGGAAATCTACGTCCTGAGGAAACTTCGCCATTGTCGCTCTACGATCGCCTTGTGGAATCATGATCGTTCCACTTTACCATCTTGCTGTAATTTTTATGTTTTGAACAAAAAAATATATAAAGTCAAACTACACCCAGAACTATATTAATGAAGAATTAGACATTATAAACCTGTAAATGATGCAAATATAGAGAACTAAGCGAGAAAGAAAAGAATAAGTTTCTTGATTTGGCGAAAATATAGAAAGCAAGAAGATAAGTATAAACAACGTTTTTTATTTTTAAATAACAAAATATATAAAGTATATTTAATAAGATCTTCTGCGGATAATATGATAATAAAAATTTATTCAAAAGTTATTTATGTTTTAAAATAATCAATACTATTTATTCTGGTAGATGTCCAATTGATAATAGTTGAGTCCAACAAAATAACCCTACAATATATATTTATAAAAATAAACCATAATATTTTCTAACTATATATTCAATTCCTTAATAGTAGGGATCCACTAACAAATTAGTAAAACTGTCGAGTCACATTAGTAAAAGCATATCATTGTTAAGAAATGAAGATGGTGGTTGGGACATATCCGGAAATGGACCAGACCACATCAGTCTACTTCAGTCCCAAGACTAGGCGGCCAAGACTTGTCATTATCCTCCCTTGTATTTATCCATATGTTGTAGATATCCTAATCATTATAGGATTAGGATAATCATCCCCTTTATTTGTAGCAATCCTTATCTCCTAAGG